TGTGTGTGTGTGTGTGTGTGTGTGTGTGTGTGTGTGTGTGTGTGTGTGTGTGTGTGTGAATGTGTGTGTGTGCGTGCGTGCGTGCGTGCGCGTGTGAGTGTGTGTTATTATCGATATAAATAGTACCTTTGTTCGTCAATTCGAGATTAGCGTTCAATATATCGGTTGCCCACCATACTTAAATCGAATTAAATCACAGACTGCAGCATTGATAAAACTATAGAAGAAATGCCCGAAGAACATGACAGTTCTTCGTACGTACATGTTAACATACATGGTTGCTTGTCGATTTTTCTCTATACCCAATGTTGCGCGTAATTCTTATTATGCCTGTGGTTTGCTATCATGTAACTACGTGTCTATGTTACAGCAGACAGATATAGATAATGAGGCAGCTAAAGCAGCAGGAATGTTAGACAACTCGGGACCTAAAAGGTTGCACGTTTCCAACATACCGTTCAGATTCCGAGACCAAGACCTTCGACAGATGTTTGCGGTAAGTGTCATGAGCTCTTTCCATATTACATCTTTAAACGCAATTTAATTGGTTTATAATTACTGCACGTCTAGCACAGCGCTATGTGTAAGCAGTCAGTTAATTTTTATAACGATATATTTATATAATTATATATATATATAGATAAATAAATAAATAAATAAATAAATATATATATATACTCTTTAACGTATCAATAAAACATCAGCTATTTCGCGATAGGGTTGAAGTGACAAAAAGGTCTAGTGTGACTGTTATGTCAAATAATAAAAATAAAAATAATGACATTCTTTCGTAGCCTGCTTTAATTATTCGCACACGCACTCACAATGCAGTGCCGCGTTAACATCGTCTGCGCAGTTACGGAACACCTACGAGTATTGCCAGCAGCTTGTGCCAAGCTGAAGATGCGCTCAAGATGCGCGGTGATTCCATTAGCCGCATACGATTCATTATGGTAGCACGTATCTTCCCCCATCCCCGAGCTATAATACCAGTCTCGTCTTGTGTGTTAGCTCGCACCATTCTAGCAGTGTGTGCAGATGTTCGCAAATATTTCTTGCCGATTAAAACGGCCCCTCCGCGATCGAGCGATCTAGCATTACGTGTTCGTTGGCGAACCGAAGCGCGTGCCTATTTACTGCGGCTGTCATGGATACACAAGCGTCCCTGCTGTTCCGAACGTATACTGTGACAAGCGCGCTTTATATTTAGCCTCAACATAAATAAACGCGCTGCGCGAGGAGCGCACGTCGCGGGAACTAGATCATGACGTCTTGGACTTCGCGGTCGGGGTTCTGCGAGCACGTGGCAGATGCAGCGGCCTGCCGTATGTTAAGAGGATTCACCACCTTAGGATTCTCACTTACGTGATGTGATGATAGAACGCAGTACGTTTAGGGAGGTCCGTTGCTAATGCTGAGAACGACACGCCCATTGCCACGTCGTTTTAAAAATTGATGCCCGCAGTTCGATAATGCTCATTTAACTGGTGGCAAAAGGAGCATTAAACAGACAAAATTTAGACATACATTATTACAATGACTTGATAAATAATTGAATCAAAACAGTCATCCGAAAATGTAGAAAATCTGTAGTTTGGCCCACTGCCTTTTCACCTGTGATCTCAGGTGATTTTGCCTTTACCTTAAGGAGGAAACATGCCCCCTCGCTTCACACCTCTTGACCTTTAACCGTTTACCCTAGATTTGACCTCTTAATGCCGTTCCTCTCTTACGTCCAGCGTGTATCCGCATCTTACATTAAACGTCTTCGATTTGTGCGGCTGTTGTTGATGTCCCGCGAACGGGCGGACAGACGGAAGGACAGATGGACAGACAGATGGACAGACAGACGGGCGGGCGGACAGACGGGCGGACAGATGGACAGACGGGTGACGGATGCTAACGGCATTGTGAGCTCATTCTTAGCAACAGCTCAGATGAACTTGAATACAACAGGATGTTGATTCGCAAAATTGTTCACGAACAGTTGTTGCACGACGGAACATAAATATCCGCTGGCAATTTTCCTAATTACTCTAATAATAATGGCAACTTTATGTTTTTTTACGACGCGTTTTCTACCCGTTAGGCATCTTTAGATGAAAATGATCAAAGATGCAACGCGTTACAAATAGTTGCATTTTGACTTGCACATGATTAGCGGTCGAGCGAACTGAGTGTGCGTTCGAGCCGCGTCTTAACTCTTCCTGACAATTCTCAGATGCTTTCTTTTCATTCTTTCTTTCACAGTTCGGTCCTATATTAGACGTCGAAATCATCTTCAATGAACGAGGCTCAAAGGTAAGCCCTAGTATCTCATTGTGTGCATGCATGTCTGAGTGTGGTCTGGAAGCCTGTGAGATGTGTGCCATGAAATCGCCTGATAATCTTCGACTGTAGTCAAATATTTACACTTCTCATGATAATAAAACTCCAAATAAATCGATTACGCATACACGCATACACGTATAAACTTACGAAAGGTATATACGTATAAAATACGTATTAATAGTGTACACGTAAACAGCAAAAAGGCAGTTATTCTGCTCCATTAGATAAATTGAATCAAAAAAATGTGTGCACGTGTAAAAAACAAGAATTGAATTGTACAAAACCGACTCTGAAACGTTTTGCGCAATCACAATACACAAGACAGTCATCTGTCTCGTGCTAGAGTTATGTTGACGTGCATTTATGACATTTTATTTAATGGATAACACTGATAGCACTGATAGCACCGATACTTCAGGGACCATGCAGCATATCTGCTTATGTTTGTTTAAATATAAGTCATTGTTTTTTACGGGGTTGTTATGTTGTGAGATTATTCTTCCACGTGAATAGCAATAAATTATTTTGTTCACTGCCTCTTTCCGTGGACGACAGAACACGTAACTGCACTCACATTTAAGCGGCGCGTTCGTGATGCACGCAGATTTGTATTTGCCTTTGGCATACACAGACACTATGCGACGTGCTCGCCTACGAAGAAACTCGGCGGTTCAACTCACTCTTCGCAGTCATATTATAGGCTGATGCCGCTGATCGTCGCTATTTTTAAGCCACACACGCACATATGTGAGGTAACATCAGCGCGTATATAGCAGGGCCTGCGTGGTAGCGGGACTGCACACGTGTAGCAGTCAGGACATTTGGCAGTCAAGTCTTCTCGCAGCTTCGAAATCGATGGAGAAAAAATTAAAACCGTACGATTTCACTGGATTATGGCGTTCTGCCCACACAAATGGCAAAAACACTTCAGAATGTAATGGCTACTTCTGGATGAAGGCACTTAATGCGTGTGTTTTGTCAACAGGCTTCGTCTTTAACAAATACTCGTACTACTATGTGAGTTATTTTCGCGTATTTGTCGAAAACCCCGCGCGTTCGAGCAGAAGTTAGTGATGGATGCTAGCGATTTAGCTATCATTTATTACCGAGTAACAGCGAAAACGTACAACCAAGTGATGAACACGCATACTATAGATGATAGTGCTTGCCGATTCCGTCACCTTTCGCGCTCATATACAATGTCAATGTTTTCCGAACAGGATGAAAATATATAGAATTCGTGTACAACAAGATAAAAAATTGTTTTCGGAAATTTTCTCTGGCCTGCGTGAGTAGTGACGATGCATGATGCCTGCTGTTCCATTTGAACTTAACACCTACCTTGACATTGACCTTGACCATAATTCTGCATTTGACCTGGTTGCGCACGGGGCCAGGAAGTGACATTACGGAAATGTCGTCACTTAACCTTTCGCATTTAGCCTTATTTTCTAGTCAACAAGGCTGATTACGTTGTACTACAGTACTTAATTAGCATATAAAGTGTTAATTACATTGAATTAGAGTAGTTATTTAGTTCATAATTATGTGGTTAATTACGTTGTATTATAGTATTTTATATAGTGAAAATTAGATCGTATTACTTAATTAACATATATAGATATATTTGCCGTGTATTCGAGTACATAGTTACCGAATATAGTGAAAATTTGTATTCGTAGTCTGTATAGTGATAATTACAGTTTATTACATTCATAATATTTACCAAAATATGCATTTAACATACTAAATTAAACATTTCGTCAGGACTAACTACATGTCTTGTATAGATTTTCTGTAGCCAGCAATAGTAATATGAGTTAGGTTGAGAGGCCAGTTTCCTTGCCGACAAATTGGTGTCGACTGACTCTAAAAGTAATGAGTGTGAGGACGACAATAACAATACAAATGTTTTAAACAGTTAGTTCTTTAACAGCTTCTCACATCAACCGTAATACTGTGGAACAAATTCTTTCACCACAGTTATAAAATCTCACAGCATGGACATCTCACAGCAGGCATCCAACGAAGCTCTTTACGATGAGTACGTAAAAGATATAATGATGGTATACACAGGAAAATATTATCAATATTTCAAGATATAGTATACTTAGCATCACGAGGGAGAAAGGCCATGTCGAAGCACGTAGCACTTAGAATGATAATAAGGCACTTGACCGAATCCTCAAACATCATTGGTTTGCTTTGGTCATTGCACGTCAACCACTCAGATGTACTAGAGTGCGGCACGGCTCTTGCTAACACCCAGTTGCAGATGCAGAGCTTGCTATCACGACGGGATTCACAAAAATAATCCCAACGAAAATCACTTGGGATAATAATGATTTTCGAGAGGAGACAACTACAAGAGAAGGATCTACGCACAATACAAATGAGCTGTTATCCCAGAGGACCAATCATTCACGTGGCATGAATACGTAATACGGACTGTCAATAAGAACGATAGATATACCTCGGGTAAGATCAATAAACATGTGAGTTTATTCATAGAAATATTTTTTCGTTTGACACGCGATTCTTAATTATTTTTCGTTCTTTTCAGAAATTAGCCCATGTCCTAGTTCTATAAACGCATATATAAGCCTTATATATATATATATATATATAGAGATAGATAGATAGATAGATAGATAGATAGAAAGATAGATAGATAGATAGATGAATAGAGAAATAGACAGATTTGCTATTACTATCGGTATAATTTCAGCATCAGTATATGGGTTGCCTAGCTCTAAGTGGCGTGGCTGCATGCGCGTGTATCTAGATCTATATAAGTCGCCGTGGTAGCGAGTGGACCTATAGAAACAGTCGTAGGCTAGAGGCCGGAAGACAACCTAAACTGAGGTTTCAAACCAAGGCTATTACGTATAGCTTCAGGTTCATACAATTAAATAATATACAAGCTTATTCGTGGCAACATAATTTCGTTTGACTCTCGAAATATTGATAGAGCTATCTATATCAAGTGGTTTTAGGTTGCCCGCCAAAGTTGCAACGGGAACTGAAAACCAAGGACACTGGTTCTGGTTGGCACGGAGTGGGGCGCGCTATGTTGAAACAAATATGTAACTTAACGTAGTAAGCTAACCCTATTCTGTTACTTACATATTTGTGTCTAGGAGCTATATGATTCCAGACAGCCGCGGCTATATAAGTAGTCTGTATGGACTCAGGACCAGAGGGTTCAAGAGAAGAAAGGGAGCCGAAGAAAAGCGTACTAATGGTTTCAAGAACAGGGGTTATGAAGGAATCCAAGAGCTAAAAGAAACCAAGAGGTCTAAAGGGGCCCAGCTGGTGAAGGAAGTAATGGATATAAAAGAATCCAAAGAATGAAGGAAACCAAGGGATAGCGTTAATGATAGTTAAGGAAGCAATAGCACGCATAATTATACGGTCATATATATATATATATATATATGTATATACAGTTTAAGCATTTATACAGTTTGTATTTATACAGTTTGCATTTAGTGACTGATAGGCTGTTTGAGTGACTGTCTACCGTCGAAATAAAATTGGCCCGTTACTTATTCAAGCAGTAGCAGTGTTGTGTTTCACTCTGCTTTCCATCTAGCTGCTGCATAGCCATCCTGTCTAACAGCAGGAGGGGAAAAATCCCGAAATGAACATACACGTGAACACACACGAATATAAGCTGGCATAGCTTTCTTTCTTTCGTAGCGACTACCGATAAAGCCATTACATTACAAACCTGAGACACCCGTTTAGCACTGTATCGATTCTACAAGCACTGCCGCAGGAAAGCTGTGAAAATACATAGCTATACAATAAAACATAATCAGTCAGATGGCGAGGAGCATGTATTGCGTGTGAAAGGGTACTCTAGGGTCTACTGTAACTATTGCATCAATACGGTGGCCCGTCGCATGCACGCGTGGACGGAGTTTGCGTTATTAATTGGTGCATTCACACCGTAATGTAAACCTCGTCTTTGTCTGCATCGCATCGTCATGTGTGTGTGTGTGTGTGCGTGTGTGTGTGTGTGTGTGTGTGTGTGTGTGTGTGTGTGTGTGTGTGTGTGTGTGTGTGTGTGTCGTCGTCCGTCGTCGTCGT